ACACATTTTACTTAAAAATTAGATAAGACTTATAATTTATTTTTAATATTTTAAAATATTCATATTAACAAATCAGAAATTAAATTCGTAATCACAAAATATAAATTAAAATACGTTTATAAGTATTAATAATAATGTATTAATAATAAAGTATTAATAATAATGTAATAGAGTCAATTAATACAGCGATTAGCTCTTAGCCTAGTTTCCACGAACGCAATATATCCTCTTATGAAGCTTAATTGTGTAGGTCTTCACGTAAATATGGATTAAAGTAACAAGAGAATCATCTCAAAATCGAATAGGTTTTTCAGGGAGAACTTTTAATGTCTCGCACATTTGTTTACATCTGTCCGAAAAATCAATTTAAAGTCTTTGTACTAAAATATTATGGAAATGTAATTAATTTTATATTGTTTTTAAAATCTCCCTAAAACAAGTCGTATCCAAATATATTTTACAGTGTCCGTCTATCAAAATCCTTTCTTAAAAAAAAAATGCAGAATTATTTTACATGTTTCACTGATAATAGCACGTAACTTTAAATGATGAAAAGATTAATAAGAAAACAAAAAAGTATGACATATGGCAAAGAAAGATCACGTTACGCAGATAAATTGCACTGGCATAAGTGCAGCAGATGCATCTGAAAAGTGCAGATAACACGATAACCGATTGCGTGTTGAACTCGAAAGCGTTGAACTCGCAAAAAACAAATAAACGCATACAAGCAACTTGTTATAATAAACTAAAACTAAAACAAGTCATTCACGGCTTCAAGCCGGATCAACGATGATACCATCTGAATAATTCCTATAAATGATCGATGATGAAGCTCCAAGAGATTGCATCTCTTCAAGTGCGCGCGATTTAATATTGATACATATTAATGAAACTACAGTTTCATATTGAATGAAACTACAGTTTCATATTGAATGAAACTACATTTAATTAAATTTATATAAATTTAAATTTATATAAATATAAGGGAATTAATTTGAATGATGATAATAAGAGAAACTTATTTAATTCAAATTCTAAATTTTAACGTAAGGTGAATCGATAATTAAAATAAATTGATACATTAGATTGACAATTTTAATCTCATTAAATTATGCATGTATAGCCAATTTTTAATTTTTGCGAGCGAGAACTGAAGCGGAGTTTCTCACGAGACTCTGTTTATAGATCTGGAATATTAACCTCGATAATGAGATATTATTTATATGGGTTTCCAGCCGTATGACTGGAAATATATACAACAACCCAGTTTCCCTGGTCTTTGCGTAGTCGCGGAAACGCGGTCAGGTATTATTGCGCGTAGGACTATCGTGCGTGTGTCCGTGTGTAAGAGAAGTATAATCGCGAGTTTCTGGCAATTTTCATAGGCAAAGGGGCAAAGACATCGACGGTATTTCTCTCTACGTTAACTCTCCGCGATTTCGCGGCGATTTCCCACGACCCTCGTCGAACCGTGAGCGCCATAAAGGCCGGACTATCGATTTTGCATCACGCTTCTTTTTCTGTCACGCCGCGAGTCTACGAGTCTTCTTGGGTTCGTACCAAATGGGAATGTATTAAAAATATCCACCGCGATACTTTCGTTTCAAGTAGACAATATTTTTCTAAATAAGTTAACTTTATTTTTATTCTTTAATCAAATTCTAATATTTAATTTTATTATTTGTTCTCAATCATATAATAAATTCTCGGTTATGTAATAAAATCCTCAATAATATATTCCTTTAAATTATTTTTAATCCGCATAAAAGCTTGGCACGTGCATTTTACACAATCCTCTCCGTACGATTAATAAATCGAGAACGATTGGAAAATCACGCGAGAGAGTAATGTTACTCGAAGAGATCAAAGACATCACGATACTTTTGTTTCACGTAAACAATATTTTTTTTAATAAGTTAACTTTATTTTTATACTTAATCAAATTCTAATATTTAATTTTATTATTTTTTCTCAATCATATAATAAATTCTCGGTTATGTAATAAAATTCTCAATAATATATTCCTTTAAATTATTTTTAATCCGCATAAAAGCTTGGCACGTGCATTTTCCACACAATCCTCTCCGTACGATTAATAAATCGTACGAGAACGATTGGAAAATCACGCGAGAGAGTAATGTTATTCGAGGAGACCCCAAAGACACATCGCCTTGCCATCGCGAAAGAGCGTAATCGCAGGAGCGAAACGCGCGTGACAGGATTACGAGAGACTGCGACTGCGTGTCTCGACGCGCAGTTGCATAATTTCTTTGCTGGTGCCTTTGTAGAAATTTCGCGAAACGGAATGTCTGCGTATTTACGTTGCCAGTAGCACGCGGTCGACCCCGTTCAAGGTAATGCGGCCAACAGAGACGCGGAGAGAGAACGGTAATATATACCATTGTATTCCATATAGGGTGTTCTTAAAAAAGGCGTCGACCGTTGCATATATCGATGGAATGGTAATTAATTTCGTACAGATAAGATTGATAGAAATGTTATTATTTATTTCACTAAAGACGAAGTGATATTTGTAAAAAAAATGGGAACCGAGATGTATTTTTATTACAGTATATTGAAAATTTGCGCGAGAAAGATTCTAACGCGATTTGCCTCCGTTTCCCTAGTTTTTAGACAAGATTTGACTCGTAACGTCGTCCAAGGGGATCCACCGGAAGATGATCCAAGATTAGCCGAATAACCGAGAGGCGAACGAGAGGGTCGAGCCTTGCATTCTCCCTCAGGCTACATCGAGAATGTCAACAGAGAGAGTAAATGGGATCCAATTGGGTCACAAAGATCCCGAGATCCAAGTAATAAAATCGCAGAGTTTCAAAATTTCAAAACTCCAGGAATTCTTGGAAAATTGAAAGATTTTTTTGTAAATTTAAATCTTAAACACAGTTTGACAAAAAGTTGAATTGTAAAATTAATTTAAAGATCTTTGAAACTTATCGATTCTGCAATTTCACAAACAGAAAGATAAAGATTTCACGGAATTTTAAATTTTCAAAACATGAAAACTTTAATTTATTACTTAAAAGAATCTAAAATTGCATAAAATATTTTCTCTCGAAACTATAAAGCTTTGCAGCTTTAGTCATTTAAATCTCTGGAATTTCAAACTATTTCGAACGTATATTAAAGAGGGATTTAAACTTTAATTATGTATTAATTTAATTAATTTCCCCTGAACATTTGCTACATCGTATTCTTAGACAAAGAGCTCACACGCAGCAATAAAAGAAAAGGGCAAGATGGCTCGGTGTGTTAACATCATCGATCGATAATGTTACGTATACGCGCATACACACGCATACGGATGCGTATACACGCATACACATGACGATCGTGATCTAACGGTTCATTAATAAATTAAGAAAAGGTCAGGCAAGACGATTGCTCTCTCTTTTCGAGATCGCACGATCAAATGCATACATATCGTTCTCGCTTCCCTTTAACATACAAGGTATCTCGTGAACGTTCATAAGCTTACAAATAAGGAGAAGTTTTATACAAATATACGTTTGGTCTTTTAAGATTAAACGTTCGAACAATTATCAAAAAATGTCACATCGAGATCGGTCGTCTTGAGACACCCTGTATCGAGAATGCCAACAATTGACGACTCCATGTTCTCATTTCTCACTCGCAAATTATTTCTAAACGATCGCTATGATTTATATCGCGATACTCGGCACATTCTCTTCGACCCTCTTAATTCATTCTATCGTGAAAAGTGCACCTCGGGGCGCTATAATTTCCCACGCACGAGTTTTTCTCATTTCCCGTTCTCGTATCCCGGTCATGATGCGAGACACACGCGCATCTAGGAATAATTGAACCTTGTAAATTCTTGAGAAACTTCCGCATAGATTTTCAAATGTTACGACAGTATAGAAAACAAATGCAAAATAATAAAACTATCAGTAATTAATAATAAATATAATTAATATTAATAAAAAAACGAATAAATAAATATTATTAATATTTATATAAATATTAATACACGTAGTAATATTCGTATGTTTAATTATTCACAACTACACGTAATTTTCTATACAAATGTTTTTCTCACCACTTCTCACGTTCTTCGCGGGTGAAACTTATGTCATTCCAGGCGAGCGACATCGAGTGACGGAAACGACGGGATTGTCGATGACAAAATCAACAGACGCAAATATTGACTGCTTTATAACTGAATTCAGTTCTCTTACACCGGAATGCTTTAATCTCGATACAAAAGTGGCACAACTGTCGATGACCAAGTGAATCGTTAATCATTACAATGATTTATTCCTCACGTGCACGAAATCGCGGGGATAAAAAATGAAAGGGTTTGTCACGAAAATGACATAATCCCAAGCGTTAAGAAGCACTATAAGGATAAAACATCCTGGCCAAAGCGAAGCTTACGCAAATTCCAGATTAATCTCATCCTTACACTGTACATCGTTCCGGATACGCAAAGGGTTAATTATTAATACACGCGATAACGGCAAGGCTTAACAATCGGCGTCGCGATCTCTTTCGCTCTCGCTCCAGCGACGAGAGAGAGAGGAGAGGCGTCTCTCCAGAAGCGCTCGCTCCGAGAGAGCGAGAGCGAGAGAGAGAGAGAGAGGGAGAGAGGAAGAGAGAAAGACTACTACTACTCGCGGGGAGGGCCACCCCGGCCACCCCCTGCACGGACAGCCGGCGCCCGTGTCCCGTATGCGGCGACGACGGCCATGTGCCGCCCCCGGAAAACCGCCGCCCATCGAGTACGGCGTCTTCTCTCGACGTCGCGACTCGTCGCGGCTTATCGAGGCCCCGAGGCTCCGTTATCGCGGTCACGCGACGACGGCGCACGAGAAAAAGCCCGACTGACAAGATGTGTCACGGAACACGAAGCTCCGATATCTCGCCGTCTCTCCCTCTCCGTCGATCCAATGGCTCGGTCTTCCTCTCTTTCTCTCTCTCTCTCTCTCGCGCTTACTTCTTACTCGTTCGACACTCACCATCGTATCCGTCGCACGGCTGTCCGCCGCGTGTCCGCGCATATCCCGGACGGAGAGGCCGAGCGGGCGACCAGGGGAGAAAAAAGGCCGACCGTGTCCTCGGCAGGAGGCGACGCGGCGATCAACGTGTGGGCGACGTCGCTCGACGCCCGACGTCGCGACGACCGATCCGGACAAACGCGGCTCGACTTCACCCGCGGACACAGAAAATGGCGTTGCGCTGTGGCACGCAGCAACAACAGCAGCAGAAGCAGCAACGGCGCGTACAATACGTTCGCTCGTTCGCCCGCTCGCTCGTTAGCTCGCTGGCTCCCTCGCTACGTCGTCACTCCGCCGGGGCCGCGGCTCGACTACACCGGACGCCGTCCGGCGGCGCGACGATCGCCCGCGGCGCCGCCAAATTTCAAAATCGTTCGCGTCGACTTTCAGCCTCCTTCCACTGCGAGTGCAAATTATTCCCACTCGGTGTAATAAATGTGAGAAAAATTCTTGTTCCAAGTTGTATTTATCGATCTGTTTCTCTCTTCATTTTATTCTCTATTTGATATTTCTCTCTTAAAATTCCGGAGTTAGAGAGATAGAGTCGGAAATTATATTACAGGTAGCTATTATATTATATGCAAAAATTGACGCCGATATAATGAAGAGGGCGTGTATGAATTTATAATAGGAATATATTTATAAACTTATAATATTGATTCTAGAATAGGAATGTGCACAATAATGTGAAATTAATTTTATTAAGAAAATACGTACATACAAGTGCGTGATGCAGGTCCTGATGATCTCACGAGATAAATGACGTAGATTTTTCTTAAATCCGCGAAAAGCAATATTGTAGTTTGCATTGTTGTATTTTGCATTTCTGCGATTACGCGATTCTGATCCCAACTGCGCCACCTATCGCGACAAGTTGAAACCACGGATTGTCAAAACCATAGACAAAAGAAATGTCTGTGAACCGATCTGAACAAGTTGACACATTTGATTGGCTACACCATATTATTGGTATCCTTTCCGAGTGTACTAACAATATGGCGCATTTATAATCCATTTTCATGTTTAAAATTATTTTGTCTTAAAAACGAACAAACGAGCATAAGCTTCGTTGGTATTTCTACTTGTTTTTTATACACCCATGATAATAACCGGTAACCTACAATACGTACAGCATATAATTGACATTTGAACTTTGCATATTAATTTACAATTCCCTTGATGTTGTAGTGCCAATATTAATGTAAGATAATTGCGCAACTTTTATAAAAACATATTCACGATGGTTGAGGAATCGGAACAGGTGAGTTTCAAAATTCACGTATAAGTTGCCGTATTTACTTTCGTATAATCTCGAATATCGTCCTGAAATAGTTGCCGCCAATTGACGTGAAGGAACCCTTGGACCTCATAAAATTGAGCCTGGAGGAGCGGATTTACGTAAAAATGAGGAACGAAAGAGAGCTCCGAGGAAAATTACACGTAAAAAACTTGATAGTCTTAATCATTTCTTGATATCATATCAATTCTTGATATTTCAAGTTTATCATTTCAATTCTTCATATTTCAAGTTGTACTTTATACAAAAGTGGAATTAATTTGTTTCATAATATTACAAATCAATGTCTAAATTATACCAAAGTATTAGAAAATAATTTTTCAACATCTTTTATTATTTCAGGCTTTTGACCAACATTTGAACATGGTGCTAGGTGATGTGGAGGAGATTATAAATATAGTGGAGATTGATGAAGAAACATACGAGGAAATCTATCGTCAGAAAAAAAGGACCATCCAAATGTTGTTTGTGCGCGGCGATGGCGTGATTCTGGTATCTCCACCTACATAAGATTACTAAATGCTTGTATGATATCTCTCTCTTGTAAAGTTATAAATATTTCACATTTAATATTTCATTTAAAGTGATCTAATATAAAATTTTGCATTATTATTATCAAAATGATTTACAAATTGATTGTGAGCGATGATTTTTGTTTCATAATTACATGTACATTATAAGGTTCTTTAAATGTGGTCCACTTGGATGGATAATAAAACACACATATTCTTGTAATATATGGTACATGTACACAACAAGGAAAGCGAGTTACATTGTGGGTTGCATATGCAATGTACAATCATGGCATCTCTCACAAGATCTATTGGGACAACTTGGAAGAAGTATGTAGTTTCGAGATTCCACTGCCAATAATATGAGGACGCAAAGTAGCAACATTTCTCTCGATCGGCAGCCTTGTGATCTGCACTGTGAGATCATCGATCCTCTGATCTTTCAATCTCATTATGTTTTCCAGATGCGAGATTTTTTGCTGTAATGTGGAGATTGTGTCATTTTTCTCTTGTAGCTCTTGTTTCAGGCGAATAAAGACGTGTCGGGGGACAGTTTTGTTTGCTATTTCATCGGGATTTAGTACCGACTTTACCATTTCTAAATTGTGCATACATGGGATGAGCCAGTAAATTATAGGGAGTAAAAAAAGTTAAAAAGTTTAGAAAAACTGAAAAGGAAAGAATAATTTATTATATAATTAAATAAGGGCACCTTCGCTATCTTCATGGCCAGAGTACAAGGACTCCCTGTCGGCGTTGCAGTCTTTCAAAATTTTGGCTCTTAAATCAGCGAGAACTTTCTCAATACTGCCTGATTGGGAATTGGCCAGTTGATTGATCGCTTCTTTTCCCAATCTCATGTCAAGTTTCGATAGCACCTTGCGATTAAGCGTGCACCAATTATCGATTTTTCTCGCAATGCTGTTACCGGCAACATAATTGTGCACGTCTACGTGCTTAGGATAATAACGTTTCAATAGCTCTGCCATCAACACTAAAATTTTATGTCTCGCGTTAATTTTTTTATGTTTTTGCAAAAATCAGTGAGATGCGCATCTTTTACCGCCATCGGAAAAATCTCTGGCTATATTTTTTTTGGGCCTGGAAAACTTGATTTGGTCGATCCAGTCATAAATCTCGTCGAGCTGATCACTAATTTTCGAATTCGCGTTCATATTTATTGTGACTCGCACACTAAGAAGAGTGCGAGAATCATGAAAAATTACGAAAGAGAGAGGAAGAAAGAAAAAAGTCTATTTTGTATATCAGAAATTTGTAAATGCGGTTGACATCTTGTTTCCTATCAAGTACCGAGCAAACTCGCTCAATGTTCATTTGAGCCTAGCTTCAAGATTACTCGAATAAACAATTTTGTTTGCATTCATTATTGAGAGCGACTTACAAATCAAATAACAGAGTGGGCCAAAAGTAGCTACAATTCACGAAATATTGAATAAAGATGAAACTTAGATTTTCATGTATGAAATTTTTGAAAAGTTGAATGAGTTGTATCATTTATAGATAATTGAGCATTGTTTTTTAATTGATAAAATATATTTTTATATAACTATTATCAATTATTTTATCTATAAAACATTAATAAAATAACGTGACTTTTATTTGAATTGAATTTTTTTGAAAGTACAGATGAGCACTTTAAGGAAAATTGCAGGTGAATTGCATCACTCCTCGCCTCTTTCTCATTGTGTCAGTGACCGAAACTGAAGTCGAAGGCATGATCACTGACACGTGCATGTGCGGTCCATTGCTTTCACGCATGTACGCACACACGCATCCACTTGCGTACGTGCTTACGCTAGAAGAGGCGCACGCTTCACATCCCTCCAGAGTCGCTTCAAGAACTTTGGGTTTCTCCTCGTTTTACGTCAGTGACACATAGCTCTCGTGACGAGTTGGAAGCAAAGCATCAGGTGGCCATCAAATGTAATTCACTCGAGAAAGAAAAATTTACAGTAATGTAAATTGAGGAGAAAATATTAATAAAAAATTACAGAAAATATTGAAAAACAATTATAAATTCGATCGTGCAATTTTTTATCGCCGAGTAATCTGCAGTAAAATCTGCGAGTATTTTTAAAAAGCATCTTTAAAGATATTTCGTCAATACGATGGAAAACAATCCTAACAGTAAGTAATACTTTTTTCATCAATTTTTAAGAAAATTAAAGAAAGAGAACTTAGATTCTCTACAGATATATAATTTAAAAGTGTAAAATATCATTAAACGGGAAAATAGATAATAAAGTTTTACTTAAAAAAATATAACTATTTATTTTTTTAAAATGTATGCTATATATAAATGTTCTTGTTATTTCTTTATATTATCTAACACTTTTATTAATTAATTAACATTTATATTAATTTTTCAACAGGTAGATTATTTTCATTTAATTTTCTTAAAAAAAGAACAAAAAATAACTCAAGTTCCAAAAACACTTTCCGCGACCTTGGCGTGTCCTCTACACTCCATATCGATTTTTTCAAAGGGGGGAGATGTTATCAAGAATTTTATTCAATTTCCTTATAATTGATTTGCGATACCTATCATTGTATCTTGTCACATGTCGTTTTAATGATGCAATGCTATGCAAGTTGCTTATCATTCACATACGAAATTTCGCAATTATATATCACTAATAAAAATTTATCGATAATAAAGATTTACAAAATATATAATTAAAAATGCGAAATAATGTACAAATTAACTCAAGATGTAATATTGCGATATGCATTAGGATGACATTTCGCACGAAGCGGCAACTCACATGTTAGCTCACTCATCACTTCGTCTGTTCTCGTTCTTAAAATAATCTTTTGGGTACGCCTTCGTACGCAAATCGATTTCGCGTTAAGTTAGATAGAAAAACAATTTGAAAACAAGAAAACATTCCCTTTACGATGTGAAAAATTAAAAAAAGTGATTCTTAAAATTCTTTTCTTTACTGTGAATATTGTTTGCGAATTGTATTGCGAATAAAAATATGCATATCAATTCGAGCAATCTCTCATCAAATCATATGTTATAATTCTGACGTGATATTTCAAAAAATGAAATGGCCTGATTTTAGACAGACAGTAAATGTCTCATTTATCTTGTATTCTTTTCGTAAAAAATAAAAATTAAAAAGCTACGTATTCAAAGCAAAGCACGATTCATGTAATTGTTCTAATTTACATGTCGCCACAATTAAGAAATAATTGCACGCGTGTATATATACATATATATATATATATATATATATATATATATATATATACAATATAAATTAAATAATATAAATAAAGTTACTGGATGTTACTTAATTTTTTGTCTTGTAAAATATGCATGTAAAATATACATGATATATAATGAAAAATAAAAATTCCAATATAAATCTAAAGTTTGGAGCAAAATATTTAATGTAAAAAATATAAGAGAGATTGCGATAAAACTAATTGCTTCTTATCAATTACATCCTTTTTTCTGCCATGTATTATTATTATTTATTTCTAGCCACAAGAAAAAATGGAGTGCGATTTCCAATTCGATATTTAATGGCTATAATGGGATCCATTGGCCTCGCCATTCTTTATGGTTTTAAAGTCAATGTCAGTGTGGCGATTGTCGCTATGGTGAATCATACTGCTGTCAAATTATCTACTTCACAGAATTCAGAAACTGATAATATTACGACAACGAGCGCGAATATTTGCCAGTTTGAAGACGTCTCAAATGTTACAAAGATCACAAGCGAGGTGACAATATTTTACATAAGAATTAAAATTGATACAAGTGCATACGTAATTCTTACATCCAGAAGAGAAAACTTAATATTTGAAAATAAAAGAAATATCATATCATTACCGCATTTTTTTTTCAGAATGGCCCATTTGTATGGAATGAGCTTATTCAGGGTTTCATCCTATCTTCTTATTTCTGGGGCTATATAGTGTCTATGTTGCCCGGTGGAAGATTAGCTGAGCTCTGGTCAGCTAAATGGGTAATGAATGGATCGGTCCTGTTAAATCTCATAGCTTCCATATTGACGCCCATCGCCGCACGTATTCACTATTCGCTCTTTATAACAATGAGATTTCTGCAGGGGATCGGCGGAGTTAGTAACATCATAAATTTATATTAATAGATCAGTTTCTAAATTGGACATAATTGACTATAATTGACTATTTGGATATAATTGACAACCTTAAATCATTTGAATTATAGGGTGTATCGTTTCCCGCTATGCATGTTATGATCGCCAAATGGGCACCGCCGAATGAAAGAAGCGTCATTGCTTCGATTGTATATGCAGGTAAAAAAAAAACAAATCACAAAATTCCAGGATATCTCGTATAATATTGCCATGATAATTTTTCATCGATTAGTTCGAGATTTGTAATCATATGATAAAAATTGTAATGCTAATCTAAACTTGCTTTTAATTTGGAATCTAAAAATCATAATACATTAGATTCCTGGAATTTTTCGGATGCGTTGCAAATTTTAATCTAAGAAGAAAAAGATCAAGTCGATAAAGTTATATTTTAGGGACGGCACTTGGTACCGTGATTTCCATCTTGTTAAGCGGTCTGTTGGCCGCAAATCTTGGTTGGGAATCCATTTTTTATGTGGAAGGTGTGCTTTGTCTGATTTGGTGTATTGCTTGGTGGCTGATGATAGCTGATTCCCCGGAAAAACAGACGAGATTCATCAGTCAACGAGAGAGAAATTATATCGTCGCATCTTTGGGCGGACACAGCAAGGAGGATGTTCCCAAAACTGTACTGGGAAATTAATTATTATATCTCCAACAACTTTTCTATATTTTTTAAATACATTCATGCAACCGCAATTCTTGTTGTTAGATTCCATGGAAACAAGTGTTTCGTTCCAAACCGTTCATAGCGATTCTGATTGCCCATTTTTGTAGCAATTTCGGCTGGTATATGCTACTTATTGAACTGCCCACATTTATGAATCAAATCTTGAAATATGATATGAGCTCGGTAAGGAAACTGTTCTAAGGCTTGATGTGACAATATATGATCTAATTTATATGTCTTTACAAGTTTATTTATTTATTTGTCAGAATGCAGGATTATCATCCATTCCATTTTTATGCATGTGGCTCTTCACTATGATTCTTAGTAAAACATTAGCCATCCTGCAGGAAAGAGGATTGATCTCAGTGACGGTATCTAGAAAAATCGGTACTCTTTTTGGTAAGTTTAACATCAAAAATTAAATTTAAAAAAAAATTAACTTTGTATTAATCAAACAATTTATATGTATACAATATATAAACATGAATTTTTGCAATGTCTATAGCAATCCATTTTGTGTGGATTTGTTTTAATTAAATATATTGTACATAGTATATTGTCTAATTATATGTAATTTTATAATTACACAAACTATTTCAGCGTCTCTCGTACCCATGGTCTGTTTGATACAAGTGTCATATGTCGGGTGCAATCGTATGATAGTAGTTTTGTTGATGACAATCGCAGTGGCCTGCATCGGCGGAATGTACTGCGGCTTCTTGGCAAATCACATAGATATCGCGCCCAACTTTGCTGGCAGTCTGATGGCGATGACAAATTTTGTCGCCACTATACCCGGTTTCGTTGTACCGGTATTTGTAGGAAAATTAACTCACGGAAATGTAAGTAATAATATAAAAACAATATCTAAATCCACAGAGTGAAAGTGATTATATCTTCATTTTATTTTTACAGCAAACCATAGAGGCATGGAGAATTGTATTCCTCGTAACGATCATTTTATATATAATCGAGATACTGGTTTATACTATTTTTGGGAGCGGCAACGAGCAACCATGGAACAAAATTAAAACGTCTGATGAAACGAGCGATCAAACATTACCTTTAAGAGAAAATAACGCGAAATACAGTTCTTAAAATCTTACATTATGCGCTATATCTTAATTTATTTTATTAATATTTATTTTGCAAATAAAATTAAAATTTAATTATTATAAAATAATATTTATTTGTTATATAATAATAATATCTATAATATTATATCTCGAATTACTTTTACATGCACTCACCTTATGTTACTATCGTATCCGCACTATTTTACAAAAATACATGGGACCCCAATTGTTAGCGAGTGTTGGAATGGCAATATGGCCATATTTTAATGCAAAATCACGAAATTTGAAAAGGCATCTCAATGGCATTAATGCTTCTTTCATATCTCTGCTCCAAGAAAGAGAACTTTATTAATATAAAATTGTAATAAAATAAAATTTATTGTATACATGCAAAAAATGCTTACTTTATGACCATAATAGAGTTGGTGTCTTCCCAGGCCTTTTTTAACGCCATACCTACGACGCCGTCGTTTTGAATAGGACTCAGGGAACAGGTAGAGTACACGACTGTTCCACCAACCGATATTATTTTTAAAGCGTTACTGTAATATGAATAATCTAATGAAAAAAAATAATGCGTCTTTGAAAGAAAACATCAAAGTTTAATTTCTATACACACGTTAGAATAGCGGCTTGCAATTCTGGTATTTGTAATCTCTCTCGAATTCTCTGTGGTTTAAAGATATTGTTATTGTCCGAATGTAAGACATGTCTGTCTGTGGTACATGGTACATCCACCAAGATCTGCAGAAGAAAAGAATTATTGAAAAAATTTCTAAAAATTCTATTATAAATCTTTTGTGTTTATTACAATAGTTTATCACTTTGTTATATAAATCTTTGTCATCAATGTATCTCGCATCTCGTCCCGTCACATGTAGTCTATCTTGCCATTGGCCAATATCAGCTACAAATTGATCTATGACATTGTGGATCTTTTTTACTCTCGACTGGGAAACATCATTAGCAACTATTGTATGTGGTAGGAGTGTTTGAAGAGCACTTAGAGTCTTTCCCCCTGGTGCTGCGCACATGTCTAGCATAGCATCGCCAGGCTGCAAGTCCAAGGCCAACACCGGCAATACAGAAGCACCATCAAGAAGATAATAATCTGCATAATAATATCAGCATCTTTATGTCAATAATGAAATTATTCTAATAAGAGACTAACTTAAATAAAGAGACTAACCTAAGACTCCCGTGGATCCTTTCTTTGGATATGAAAATTTACTATCGTTGTTTTCCTCAAATGTATAGATGTTGAGATATTGTGGAAATGTTAACATTATTTCCTTCTCGATTTTTACGGAAAAATCCGCGCCTTCTTTATAATAGCCATAGTGTTGTGACTCTAATACCCAATCTTCCATACCTAGAAAATGAAGAACAAGTTTGCATTAAATCACACATAAAAAAAGACATTTTCAATTATCTTAAATTAATTTCTTCTATGATTTATTTTCCGAATAATAAATGATATATAAATTACCTTTAATTTTTGTGGCTGGTACAAATTCATATAGTCCACTCAAACCAGCATTAGGATGTATAATTCGATTTTCATCCACTGATATTTCATTCAAATTTGATTCGATAGATTTCATTGCTACAGGCTGTTGCCCTTGACTTTCCATCACTATATCTTCATCATCATTCATTGTACTTAAAGACACAGGCGGCGATGTATAATCCGTCGGATAGTGCGATTGTATCGCTGATATCTGAGCATCACTAATTGCAGATTCTGTTTCCTGATTTCTTGCTAGCTCTTTTTTTCTCTTCTTTTTATTAGATTCGGATAATTGTGCATCAAAATCTTCCTTATAAGTTTCGTAAATTGCTCTTAGGTTCATGGCACCTTGATTCTAGAAATAATAATGTATATATTTGCAATTTTAACATATTAAATAATGTATCATTATATATGTATACTGTACGTACCTCCATCTCTGATTTTACTCTGTCTAAATCGCTAAAGCTATTTACAACAGCCATATACTTGTGCGTTTCCATCAATAGCGCAGTTCTTATATCTTCCCATGATTTTCCATAAACATTACCATAAAATTCATCGAAATGTTTCAAAGCCTTGTCCATGTGCGTTTTTTTCTTCCTAACCACAGACTAAACAAAGAATGAAAATTAAATAAATGTTAAAATGTAAACATTTATTCTTATATAAAAAACAAAACGATTTAATTGCAAAAAGATTACAGAGTAAAACTCGTATAAACAATTATGAAAGAAAAGTAAAGAAATAATGACAAATGATATCATAAAAGCTGCTACAGTGCATAGTGTAAACAAGTATTTACCCAATGATCCGCTTTATGTTTATATCTGACAACTTGCGATTTTGCAATCTCGCGAATTGTTAATCTATTAAACAAGCGTGCCATTCTCGCGTGGTATAAATTCACCTCGCGTGTCGTAGTCCTATTGAAATCCGCGGCGAATCTCGCTGTTGAGGTTACATCTTGTCAACTGATCTCGGATAGATATTCCACCGCTCGCCGTTAGATGGCGCCTCGATTAATACCGCGCGGCGCCGCTAGATGGCCGAGGGTCTCCGGTCAATCGCGGCTCGAGTCAAACGAGTGCTCGTAGATGACGCCATCGGCGCCATATTGACTCCAAGTTATTCTCGGCTTTTCTCGGCGCGTACGCGGTTTGCGATTCACCGTTAGCGGAGGAGCGAGAGACGATGAAATACAGGAAGAAAAGGGCGTGAATCGCGCGGGGGCACACAGGTAAAGAGGCGAGCGAGCGAATCTCTCTCTCCCTCTCCACGAGAAGAGTTACGGTACTACCTGTACCTGTACTTGTACTATCGCATCATTTTTGTTTATCCTTTTGATTGCGCGCGCGATGCGTTACGATTATAACAGCAGGAGCGATCGACGATTTATATCATTCGATCTATTCGTATGCGTCCTCTTTAATTGCTCCCCCCGATGTTAGATCCGTAATATTCCACTAGCTGCCAGCGGTTAGAAGGGGATCAAGGGGCAGGAAAGGGGGCAAGGCGGGAGACAAGGTGGTTGTTTCCCAAGGAGCCGTTGCACGAGCAAACGCTCCGTTTCTAATTCGATCGGGTCATTCACACTTGTGTGTGCCGCGAGACAATTCAATTTCCCAATCGCCGTCTCCTTACGACCGCGTCCCCTTACAAACGCGCGCCTAGAGTCTTCCCTTATCAGTTATACCTTTAAAAGGCTATAAATAGCGGGAATGACTCGAGTTTCTATTACAGGAACTTTTCCCCCCCCTCTCTCTTCTCGCTGTCACCTCGCCGTTCCTTCCAAATGGACTTTCATCGTATGCGATGCTCGCCATGGACGAAGCCAGGAAACCAAACAGGTAGATATACATCATTTTGCCATCCATCGCGCGTTATCGCGACGAGGATGCCGACGACAACGACGATGATGTAGAGGAGGACGATGTGGAGGCAACGAGGAAACGACGTATTTGTCGCGACATGGTTCGCGAGCAAGCGGAGCAAGGAGGGGAAGGAGCCGAGCAGGTGGGGGTGCGCGGGGGGAGGCACATCCGAGTCTCCCTCCAAGCGCGGAGGCGGGCGCGAGGCGCGCGGCATGTGAAACGTGGCTGTTTCGAAAGTCCCTGCCCGCTGCCCGCTGTGTAGCGAATGCCTATTTTAGACGCGGGTGCTTTGTCGAAACACCATCGCGAGATCCAAAATTCTTTGTACGCCGACAAGATCTCTAGGGAATCGTAATAACAAAGGTATAGGGGTTCGTGCCACGCCAGCGTCATATAAAATGTATCGGCGGTGTAATCACGGTTCATGGACCAAGAGTCAGTCTCGGATTGTAGAGTGCTTCGTCAATATATGCGGCTTTTCAAATATCTTAGGAGATTATGGGCGATCTCGCGATGGATCATCTCGCTCGACCGAGCCGATAACCCTGTAACCCTCGAATCTTTACGCGGCCAACTCGGTGAAAGTCTCGTACTAGATTAACCGACAATGGGAGGGCCAAAAGGAGAATGTCATTATCTGTCTTTTGAGGAGGAAAACCTCTCTCTATCGTCGATACCGATACACGCATCCGTAATAATACCGCACCCCGTCGACACACGAGACGTGTGACTTCCCTGAACCTTTCCCTCGCCCCTCTTCCCTCCTTTTCGATGAGTCTCGACGACCCGAATCGCTCGACGAAGCTGGTTTCGTGGATCTCTTCATGAGAGGCACGTCGTACGCGATTTGTCGAGGGAGAGAGAGACAGGAGGGAGGGCACGGGATGTGACGGGACTCGGGGGGTTCGTAAAGGCAATGCACTGTAAGGAGCTCACGACGACTATACCCTCCCTTTCTCTCTCTCTTTCTCTTTCTCTCGCGCTCTCGCGTTCCCTCCCTCGTCGATCGCGCGTCGCGACTCCATCTCGCTCTGCGACTCTTTTCTTCTCGCTCTCGACACGTTTCTCTCTTTCTCTCTCTCTCCCCCTCTCTCTCTCTCTCTCTCTGGATTCCCTCTTGCTCCCTCCATCTTTCTCTTCCTCATTCTACGACTTCTCGTCCGTTCCCTCTCGCTCGATCATTACCTCTCCCTCTTTTCCTCTCTGTACTTATCCGTCTATCTTTGCCGTCCTCTCCTTCCCCTTTCCCTGCCCTCCTATCTTTTCCTTTTTCTACCGCCCTCTCGCTCGAGGAGGGCGCGATGGGGCGCGCTCGCTACTTGTACATCACTCGTGAACAACTCGAGCCGATTTTCGATTCGAGGGATCTCGTACTCGCGGGTGCGCGACCCAAGCCTTCTTCAACGTCGATTTCTTTAGCCGCGATTTGAGAGATGAAACTTGATCGAAAAAAAAAAAATATCGAGCACCTTTTGAAATATTTTCAAAGCGTATATTTTAGAATTAAAACTGTTTCAAGGCTGGAAAGAATTAATATTTTTATCGTTGAGAGGAATTATCGCATACATTTAACGAACGACATTGGTTTTCTCGGTCACTTGACCTAACTTTATAATGGAAAATCGTCTGAATCGTTCAAGTTTGCACGATTCAGATCGAGTACGCACGCGTATGCACGCGGGGCGGGACGTCCAGGGCCAAAGGACTCGGAAGTTGCGACATCCGGCGAACAATACCGCTTCCTGTCGCTCGTGACCTTTGATCTCCGTCTGTCTCATTACTTGCGATGGCACCTCGTTCGCGATGCAATTCCAAACGCTGTAGCGAATCTAATCGATCGGTGCGTGGAAAATGAAAAATAGAATCATGATAATTTGTTGGCAAAAGCATGTATGTATATGTGTATAATGGCAAATTTATAAAACTTAAAGACTACTATAAGCGAGAAATTTTTTTACATACGTGTATAATTTTAGGTGGAGATGGAAGAACATTGCGAATAATATTTTCTGCAGGAAATACATCGCCTCGTGAAGAATTGTCATTCTACTTTGAATAACGGTATCTAGCCGAAGGAATACATGTATATGTACAAAGCGACCGAAGGGGTTATCCTCTGTGATCCCAAAAATCGAGGCTTTTCACGCTCGGAGCGGGAATACTCTCCACGCGCCAAGTCGCTCCGATTTCAAAGGCGTCGACAATAGATGGATCGATTCCTTTGGATCGTCGGGAGAAAAGCTTTCGGCGAAAGGACAGTCCGCTGGATCCCTTATTTACCGTTTGTCGGCCCGATATCCTGGGCACGTCACGTGCGCGCGGAGCCGAGAGTGCGTACATATGTACATCGACGTCGTCGAACGTGTCGTCGTCGGGGTCGTTGAACGAGCAGGGGGGTATTCACGACGAGGACGACACTAACGACCGCGCTCGAGCGCACCAACCCACTTGTGTCGACCCTGGACGCGAGTCACGTGCGTACGTGTACATACAGAGCCGACAATAATGCGATCCGGAGGGTGTGACCCGTTCCACATGTCTGACTCTCTCTCTCTCTCTCCCTCTCTTTCTTTTCTCTTTGCGCTCATCCATCTCTGTCTCTCTTCGGGATTGTTCAGACTTGGATCATTCTCAACTTGAAGAATATAAATGATAAAATTTGCTAAATTAATAATCCTTTCATTATTTATACAAAGAAAGCTTGGTGTATACGAGATATATTAGTCTCTCTCGAGTATTTTTATTAAAATTTTGTATATACTTTATTCGTATCAATTTGTATCAATTTTGTATATACTTTATTCGTATCAATTATACGATTTCAATCAGTAATCTTGTAAAATTAACAATCTCTTAAAATTTCAGATATTTCGTTAAGAAGAATTAACTCTTACTTTCTCAAATAACCGAGTAAAGGGAAAAATGATACTTTATTGCTTCACTACTGAAAGCACAACACAAGTTGATACGTTATTATTATTTAAGCGAAAGTAATCTTGTTTAATCATTTTTTCGGGTAAATATATATTTTCCTTGACCGTTTCTCGATTTTCAAATACCCGGAGCTACCTCTCTCGCTTGTCTCTCTGTCTCTTCTCGACGATATACGAGGACGAAAGTAGGTAGGTAGGTAGGTAGGTGGTCAGACGGAAGTCAGTTTAACGGTATCATCCGAGAGAGCTCAGTCAGCTCTTCGATCCTTAACGAGTGGAATGGGGTTCAACGAAATTTTGATATCTCTTGCGACACTGTTTATTTTACTTCGGGATACTGCCCCAATATGCAAAAATGAAAAGACAATTTAGTATACTCTCGTAATAATTAACAACTTCACTTCTCAATTTAAGTCGCAAGAAGAAGATTAATGAGAAAACCGTTTTCTTTAGCAATTAATAACGCTTAGATTTTCATTGGCTTTTATTACGATATTAATAAATCTTTTTCATTTTAGTCTGTCTTCGACATTCTCTCCTTGTTGATCTTATTTTTCGCTCCTTTTCTTCCATCTTTTATCTAATTAGATCGTAATAAATGAGCCCGTATTAAGATTCCTCCACAAAAGTCAAGCCGACTTTCGACGGGGCGATTGCCCCCATCCGGATAGGGTTGCTAGGAATAATGATTGTTGAGAAAGAGGACGTTGACCCTGTGGCGCTCCCACACTGCATTACGTCAGACCATGTCCACCGCGTGTCTACCTTTCGTTCTTCTCGGCATTTTACGGGCACTTTGAGCGTAGGGTTGCACCTTGCGAGGTATCGTTTCCGATACTTTAGCTTCTTCGAGAATCAGAAAAAGCGAGAACGATACGAAATACGTGGCACTCTTACAAGTTTTTTCTATGTACATTTATCTCTTGTTACATTTTACTATTATGCTAGAAGAACCCGCCTCTCCAGCAAAATTATCTTTATTTTTTCAGCGCACTAAAAGTGATAATGGAGATAAAAAAAAAGACATATAGATTCACGTACGATGACGAGAATTTCAGCAGCAAAGCTTTTTATCGCTTCTTTTTTACTTCTCGAAGAAATCTTATCTACATTTATTGAATTTCTCCCGAAAAATGTATGTACAAGTTACATAAAAAATTTATTATATGCAC